GATATGGTATGTTTTTGTTTGTTCTTCTTCCGACATGGGGTTGGGTGATGTTTGGGTACTTGGGAGTGGTGAAGCTAATATGTTCCTTTTGTTAGACGAGATCACTGCGAAGGGTCAGAATGCTATTCATGACCATCTTATCGGGGATGGAAGAGGTCATGTGGTAGCAGAGGGTATCGTCAAAGTATGTGGAGACACTGCGTAGTTGGGTGGATTTGAGGAAGCGGACACATGTGTTGTGGAACGAAAGCATGGCGCTTCTTGGCCAGAGGAATGATATCGAGCTATTGGAAAAGAAAAAGTCGCAAAAGAGAGAAAGCTACGCAGCGGGAAATAGCAGCGGAGCTACTTAGACAGAAACGACGAAGCGTCGCGAAAGTTGATACACAAGCCGAGGAGAACACCGTCTCTAGACCAGCTTCCCATCCATACCAACTACATCCCGCGCACTCAAATTTGCACCTTCTTGAACTTCAACGCCTTCGTCGGATCAGGCATACTCTGCGTGCCCACATCAACCATTGGATACCTTTCCGTTTCGTCGTTCGGCATCTTGACATCATACTCCAGAATCAGCCTAACCAAAATCATCTTAATCTCATTGGCAGCAAAGAAGCGACCAGGGCAAGCGTGGGCTCCGTAGCCGAAGTTGAGGTTGGTCTCGTTGGTGGTGACGAACTGGTTCCGTGCGATATCAGCTGCTTTGCCGCTCTGGCGTGCCTTGTAGGCGCGTAAACCGTCGAATTCGTCGGCAGAGGGGTAGTTCTTCTCGTCAAGGTAGACGGCTGCGGACGGAACTTCGATGGTGACGCCGGGCGGGATGTATTGACCATTGCTGAGAGTGATACCCTTGAGGACACGGCGGTTGAAGGCAGCTGGAGGGGGTAGGGTTAGTTGCGATATTCTTCAAGAGGGATACAAATCGACAGGGTATAACTTACTGTAGCCTGTTGGGTAGAAACGAATGACTTCCTTCATGTAGCTATCGACTTTCTCCATCTGTTGCAGAGCGCGCGAAGTAATGATTCCATCGTTGTTGGCCATAACATTGCGGATCTCCTCACGGAGGGGACCGATGTACTCTGGTGTTACGGCGAGTGTGTGCATGATGCTGGTGACGGTCATGCTTGTGGTGTGGATGGCGGCGAAGATGAGACCGAGTTGGAGCCTGGTGATATCGTCGATCGAGTCTTTACCATGGCCCCTCGCAATCATCCACTGCAGCATGTCGTCTGGCTCTTGCCAATTCGGGTCTTTCGACTTGGCGGTCATCCTCTCCTCAACGATCGGGTGCAGAAATTCGCTCAATTGTTGCTCGATCTTGCGAAGCTTAACGATCTCTGGGAGGCGGGGACACAGGAACGGCTTCAGCCATGGGCGGACCTTTTTGCAAGCTGAGACTCCTGCTACGAGATCCATTGTATAGTTCGTGCCGAGCTTGATGTATTCTGGGTTGCGACATAGTTCTGGTCCGACGAAAATGCGACCGGAGACTTTAGCAATGACATCGACAAGCTCTTTGAAAATATAAACGTCAGTCCATTCTTCGCATGGTGGCATAGCCTCTCGTAAAGCCATGTCGACTTCCGAGGCGATTGTTGGGTTTAATCGAGCTACCATTATATCAGCTTCACTAGCTCGTGAGCAGCGTTGGTCTTTTTCACATACGGAGTGCTGGCGTAAGGTCCTGCTTGACCGAGTGAATACCGGTCTGCCCCTCAACCTGCAGCCTGGTGTATTTGACTTCCATGAGCTGTAGGCGTTTAGCTTTGTTTCGATGTCAATTGCTCATGTCTACATACGTTTTTGACGGCGGCAGGGAAGCTGAGAACATCATCTGGGAGTTTTCGCAGCTCTGGGAGCAGACTTGAGGGTATGACGATGTTGTCTTCGCCTAAAGAGGTATGAGCGATGCGCTTTCTTTTTCTCGGGACGAGCTGACGTACCCTGCTCTCCTACAATTCGGTAAACCGAGTCTTTGAACTGGCGGCGTTGTAAGCAATAGCATCTCAAAACACTCACGAGTAGCTTACTTTGGCGTAACCATCTTCATACATCTTCTTAGCAGAAGTGAGGTATGCCTGTCGGTGTTTCTCTCCGCTCTCTCCGCCGAGAACCGGCAGGCTTCCCAGCTGGGCCCTTCGTTTGAGCTTGGGAACATATGCGCAGACTGCGAAGAAGAGGGTTGCTATGGCCACAGTCTGCAGCGTGTGCGTTAACTGCGCCATGGTTTGGCTGTCCATCATCGTAGATTCCTGTGTAGGAGGCACCGCGGAGGTGTTGATGTTTTCGAATTTGGCGGCCATCTTCGAAAAAAGCAGTGGGGTTGCCCTTAGGTTCGATATGTCACCTGCGGGTGCTGCGTGTTGGTGTCAGGGAGGTGGACAGCGGGTGGCGGATGGAGTCGCTACGTGGTCGTCCTTCTACATATACCGAGAATGTTTCCCCTGGCCGAGAAACGCCAGGATCATTGGTGCGCTTCGCTCTATACGGTTGATACGGTGTATACACAGACCGGATCCTTGGTTCCGGCGGTCGCGCTGTTAGCGATGGAGCCGTCTAGTGACCGCTAGGGTCTGACGGGCAAAGCGCTCGACGATCCCCAGGCCAAGCCTGACCGTTGCGTTTCGGGGTCACACCTTGAGTTCAGCCCTCCGCTCTCCATTCGAGTTCGACGTCAGACCACCGGGCCAAGGGGGAAATCGGACGTTCTTAGCGGATACCTCATATGTTCTCCGTGTAGGTTGCTGAATATGCCTCAGCGCCATGGTGCCACCGATCTTTATCTTTGACGGTGTGAGACGATCCAATCGATAGCCTTGTAGTACGGGAAGTACGCCCGAAGTGCTTCACCAAGCAGCCTAGACTGACGCGTATGTGCGGCTCGGAAGGATCTATACCCTGGCAGGGCGTTGGTGAGCACGGTGAGGAGCATCAGCGCAACCCTGACCGCGTTCCGCACGCGCCCGTTCCGGCGATCAAAGAGCAATCGCCCATGGTGTCGGTGCATGCAGTGCACGATGAAAATGTTTGTGTAACCAGGTCGTTAAAGAGAGGCAGGTGCAAGAAGGAGCTGATGGACCCTTGCTGCGGCTGACGCCTCTTCCGTCTTCCGTTCATCTAACCGAGATCTCTACGCGAGGCTGCTGCACCAGCACGGGATTGTACCCGAATCTGAATCCTTCGCTGGCCATTCTCCATCATTATGATCCTTGCTGATTCATCCAATATGAAGTCGATGGATACGACATACGACTGTCTGTGCAGCTACCCAACTTTGCGACAGTCAATACCTGCAGCAAGGACTCCACAAGCAAGGAGGGATGGCTGCCCACACCGGATCACGATATTCCGACATGTCGCTGCACCACCTTCCTCCCTCTTGGTCCTCCAACAAACGCATCGTAAGCACTTTATCATGGAGGACCCATGGACAAACCACATAACCGATGCGAAAGACGCCTCATCGCTTACCCTAGTACATGGACATGTCCACGCGTCCAACCAGGCAACGAAGAAGTAAGCGCCGTTAAACCAGACCGATATGTCGCGCAGCAAGCCACGCTCACCACGTAGTACATACCACAAGGAAACGCTCAATTGCACATCTTCAACAGCACTGTGGCACTTGGCGATTGTAGGACAATCTTCGTCTCGACAAACTTTGGCCCACCGTATCGCGCGTATTCCGATACCCAATCAAAGCGCAGAAGAGCTCTACTCTCTCTCCAACGCAAATGTGTATCTAAACTTTCGCGTTCGCGTTCGTCGCTGAGGTTGGCCGTCGACCTGGGCGGACCGATTCCCCCGCCTCTTCGCCGTCATCAATCCGGGCTGTAGATCGCCCGGTGCTAGCACACCGGTGCACTCACGTGATTTTCACATCTGCGCAAAAATAACCCGCCCTTGGTAAGCTATCTATTAATGATTAGTACGGCAAGCATCGTGAAGGCCATAAAATCTGGTGCAATAATAATCCGTGGCGCTCTTGGCATCATCAACGATAGAGTGCGCCTTAACCTCAAACTAGGGCCTGGTCTTGGCTCGGGCTGGTTATTGAGATTGCACTTTGGCATACGGCATGATTGCGATGGGTTTGATCTTAACTGGGCATCACCGAAATCACTTGCGCAGCATCAAACTTCATGTGCCAAGAGTCTCACGACTTACCTGTACCTGATGGTGAAACGGCGTATGGAGCTGTGAATTTCCAGTATCTTCCGGTTTCAAAACGATCATATCATGAAGTGTAGTTGGCAATTTTGATATTCCATTCTATGCGAATAGATAGTTTCCTAGTGTTACTATCAAACCATCATAGCGACAGAATGAGACCAAAAGGTTGCAAAAGAAGCTTCACAGATGAAGAACGAGAAGTCCGGTAAAGTGTAGAGACAAACGTGGATCTGATCACGATGACTATATTCAAAATCATGGACCTACACTCCCGGCAACCGAAGTCAGAGAGAAGAGCACTTAGGCATAGAAGAAGGTTTGCGAATAGAGATGAGATCACGAGGAATAGCCGATACGAAAGATATAGCTCAGCGGAGTAGAACGAAACGTGTTATGCTGCCGCTGATCTAAACTAACCCTAGACATATTATGTCGATCCGAAGAGAGTGGAGATGCGTTTTGTACATTAGAAGGTGCGAGGACGAAGCACGAATGACACCGACGCAAAGCACCTCCCCTGCGAGATGCGAACTACTAAGCTTTTTCAACATATGCGGCGTACAGACTTCTGTTAGTGAGACAAACGATCAACAGCTACACAGGCTGGGCGAGTATTGTGGTGCGAAATAGAGATCCTGATGTAATTTTTCTATTTTCAGAACGCGATGTAAGCAAGAAAGACATGTATGGCAACAGCTACGACATGCAACCGCTCCAGCTCTTGTCTTGTACTCTTCACTCGTATATCATCTCATCGCCGCTCCGTGTCATACCCCGAACGATTGAGTCTACCTCCTTTCCTTCGAAATCATCTCTTTATCCCTCTACAGCGTCTCAGCACAAACCATCGGCCCCTCCACCTCCTCCCTCTTGTCCTTCCCACACATCACCTCCACGATCGTAAGCGCAAAAAGCATCGCAGTCCCCGGCCCTCGACTCGTGATAACCATGCCATCAACCACTACCCTCTCCTCGCTGTACTCCCACCCCGCCTTCTCGACCTCCTCCCTCACACTAGGGTGGCTCGTGACTTTCCTCTTCCCCTCATCCACTGTCTTTTCCATAGCAGCATTCTCCGAAGTAACAACCGCCGTCGTTGCTGCGCAAATGGCAGCAACCCATTTCCCGTGGCGACGGAAGTCCCAAATGAGTTTGAGGACGTGATAGTTTTGGCAGAAGGTTTTAGCGCCGGGTGCGCCGCCAGGGAGGATTAGGATATCGTAATGTTCATACGCCTTATGTGCCGTCTGATTTAGCAGATCGGTGACTCTTCGGTAGTCTGGTACGATACGGATATTGCGGGACATGCTAAAATCCTGAGTGAGTTGCTTTGCTACGCGCGGATTTGTGGGGGACAGAACAGTGCAACATAACAATTGGGATGGGAGATGGTGGAGAACAAGATGGGTAAAGCTTACTGTGCATAGCCTTCATTCTTGAGCTCTACACCAGCGGATTTCACCTCGAAGCCCGCGCGGGTTAGAACTGCGATGGCATGTTAGCGTCGGCATCTCCATCAGCAGATTGAATAGATCTCTCCTTCACGACCGTGAAAGTAGCCCACTAATCGTCCTAAAGCAGTATGCCTCAAGTGCTTCCAAGCCATCCACAACATCCTCTTGCGTAATCTCTTTGTGCGATCCTCAGATTGGAAACGACTTTTTCGGACTCGCGCATGGGTATAGTTCATGCTCAGCTGCTAAGCATCGGTGCAAAAACCAGGAAACGGGCGCGGTTGTTGAAAAGTTTGAGCTTGTAGCTCGAACAGTTCGACGGTAATCCAGTTGAACGGCACGTGCCTTTCAATAGCTGGGGGGTGTGATGAGATGAGATCTTATTGAACGTACCGTCGTAAGGCGTCACGAATTCGATCTCCTCGGATCCATCCGCGACCAAGATGAGAGCTTTCGGCATCGTGGATATTAAACCGCACTTCCTTGATGAAAATTGTGGTGGTACTACAAGGTACGTGTGGGGGAATTGTTTGAAGCAATGGCTGAGAGAGGGTCGATGTTGAGCATGCTCCTCACTTTAGGCTAGGGTGACGTATGTGGAGCAAGAGAGGAGGGGCTCGGAAGCACGTTCCGAATGTTTCCTACAATCATGTCTTGCAATGGCACACAAGGTAAAGCATTCCAAGATCCATGATATATGTGAAGGAAGTTAATTAGTTTATATCACAAAGTCACGACATCACAGCCAACTCCATGCGGAAAAAGGTCGTCAAAGATATAGCATTCGCAGCCTCTCCTCCACGGTACGTTACGCCCAAAACAATCGGTCGTCAAGGATATCACAAGAATAGAGGACACAGTGTAAGCCTCCCCGTCCGCTATCTACACACCTTTCGCCCGTCTTGTGTGCTTTGCTCGTAGGGGTCCACCTAGATTCCCATCCCGTGTGTAAAGTAGAAAAGCAAAGGCGCTTGAACAAGATTCGAGTCGAACTCAGCAGCATCGTCGAAAAACACCAAAATGTGCAGCAGATGCATAAATCACCACCATCTTCTTCTATGCATTCGCGTGGAACCCCGGGGATATCTCTCTTCCTCTCTCATTCTCTCTCATAAGCTCATGCAATGTGACACGAACCACCTCACTCTCATAAGACAGGACGTCTATAAGAGCGAGCGGTCCTCCGTCTTCGTCAAGATATTAGAGCGGTTATTGCAACGTGATGGAGCGCCTGCCTCCTCCATCTTTGCCAGCTGGGAAAAGCAAAAAGCAAACAGGGTATGTCACAAAGAACCGGGAAGAAAAGCAGCCAGACCGCGTCTATCGTTGCAAAGTGGTAAATCGCATCGCGGAAAGTTTGGAGGTATCAAAGGCGAGGTAAAGACGTGTGGGTGAACAAGCAAAAGGTCTCCTAGCATGACCATGCTCGCGGAACTCCGAAACACCGGGTACATCGTGAAAGCAAACGCAGACATAGGTTCGTAATGTGCCCCAAAGGGCCTCCCAGATCGGTGTGTAGAACTGGTGGTAGTGATAATGAGGAATACGCAGGAGTTTGCGGAAATCACAAACTCATAGTCAGCCATTCCTGTAAGTAGCTTGTTAGCATTCGATCTTTGATCTTCGAGAAGATATTACTTACCCATTCAGCAGGACCAGATGATTGCAGGCCTTGGCCCATGGCACCCATCGGAAGTGCGCCCAGATTCTGGCTTGGGAAAGGACTGGGACTAGCGATGGCAGTGTCTTTTCTGCGCAATGGCGCTCTCCCACTCGTATCGTCCGCATCGCCCATTTCGAGCTCCTGTGATTCCACTTTGCTCGAGCCGCGAACGCGCTTCGGCGCAGGAGCGACAGTGCGAGTCTGTGCCAAGTTTACGGAGCTGTTGGACTTAGGCGGACCAGGCGCGATTGGAACCACACCGCTCGGTTTTGAGGATGTCGGTGTGGTAGATGAGGACATGGTACCGGAGGCGCCTCCACCCGAGCCAGTAGATTTTGGAGACTCAGACTCGGCCGCCTTGTGGGACGTGGGAGTCGTCACCGGGGTGTGCGCGATTGAGTTCTTTCGCGACGACTTCTTTGACGATCGCGTAGATGTCGTGCCTACAGGTGCGTTGCCGCTCCCGCGGTTGCGCTTCTTGATTACATCGGTCTTGAGCGACAAGGGCCGAACAACTCCGTGCAGCTTTAAGAATAAGCCACATGCATTGCAAAGTGGATGTCCCTCCGGGTTGCGTCTCCACAAAGGCGTCGTCTGGGTAAAGCAGTTGGTGCAGGTTGTGGGGGCACCGCCGTCACCCTGCTTCGATCCACCAGGACTCTGAGGCCGTGATGGGGCTGCAGAATTAAAGCCAGACTCTGGCGGTGAATTGGGTGACGAGACTAGACCATGCATGCCCTGGTGCAGCATTCCAGCAGCGTTAGGTGTTGAGCTAGTGCGGGGTATTTTCTGGCGTCGTGGATCGCTCCCTCGATTGCGTATGTCGCTTACAGAGGCAGCCGAGCCATGCGTCCGCCCAAGACTGCCCCCAGGACTCCAGTGATCTTGCGGTGAGTGCACCATTTCGGTGCCGCCAATTGTGACTGTCTTGCGTGGGGGTCCTGCCGGGTACCGCGCTTGCATCGGGTTGAATTGATTCGAGAGATTTGTCTCCCACTGGTAGCCAGCATTGAAGTCAAGTGACCCGTCCTCCATCTGCGAGTAGTCCTGTGGCATGGTACGGTCTGCAAACGCGCTTCCCTCATCGTCCTCGGCGTCAGAATCTGCGCCGAAGGTGAACATGTTTTCCTGGCGTCCCATCTGCATCTCGTGCTGCTGTCGTAGCGGCAGATGGTTGTGGAGAACTTGGGACGGGTCTACGTGACTCGACTGGCCAAACGACGACGCTGAGGAGAATGGTAGCGACCCGCTAGTGCTCGTGACTGGACTGAAGACAGAGTCGGGACCGCCGGCTCCAGGATTGAAGATGAACTGCGGCTGCATGGAGGTCGACAGGTTAGAGGGTCGGTGGGGTCCATACGAGGCGTTGCCGTGCGAGTTGCGGATGTCCATGCCACTCCGGTCAAAGTACATCTGGTTGTCCTCGGGGATGGGCTGTGGGGTGGAGACAGTGGAAGGGAAGGCGGAGCTGGGCGGGGAGTAGTAGTCGGTGGAGTTGAGGGAGGAGGCCATGGACTGCTGGTTGAACATGTTGGAGTTGAAGGCGTTGTGGCTCATGAGGGGCGAGCCGACAGGAGAGAAGCCCGAGAAGTTCTGCTGGTAGGGGCCGGCGGAATGTATGACGGGGTCGTCGTGCATGGAGAAGGTGTCTATGCTGAAGGGGGCCTGGGCCTGTGAGGCTGGGAAGGTGGGGGGCTGCATGGAGTGGTCGAGCGAGTACTGGTGCAGGTCGTGCTCGGCCTGGGCGTCGGTGGGTATCATGATACTGTTGACGGGAGGGACCAGAGGAGAGGCTTCGGCGCGCCGCTTGGGAGGCTGATAAGAGGTTAGTGAGGAAATGGCAGGGCGAGAGATAAGGAACTCACTCGTCGCTCGTCGATGCTGGTCTTGCGGACGTGTCGCGGAACGTAGCCAAATTCATCCTCTCTGTGGATAGTAGGAGGCACCGAGGGCGCGGAGGCGCGGGCGAGGGAGAGGTTGTGGTCGTTGGCTAGATGCGGCTTTCTTATCGGTATCGCTGGGGCAGTTGCATTAAATGGAGCCGCATCCTCATTCGACAATTCGGGCGACAGGCCTGCAGGACTGCCGACGGACGACGGAAATATAAAATCGTCCAGGTTCATCTGGTCGTGGGGCGAGTTCTGCTGTACCTGCGCTTGCTGGTCCTGCGACTTGCGCAGCTGCTGGGCGATGCCGCTGGGAGCGGATCTTGGCGGCGGTCTTGCGCCTGCTGTTGAGGGCGGCGGCGGCATCATTTCAGCGTGGTGCGCATCGGGAGCGGGCCTGCGCGCTCAGAATCACAGTTAGCCAGCTGGTCGTGGGGAGTCAAGTGGTAGCGACGCAAAAGCAAGTGCGGCATATGCGTACCCTTTATTGCGATCCATCTCGGCGCGGCGCATGTTCATGGCCATCATCCGCCAGGTCAGGTTCTCCATGCGCTCAGCATTGGGGAGCTGCGTCTTTGCCCGCGAGTAGAGCTTCCAGATTTGCGTGCCCAGCGGGTCGTTCTTCTGCAGCTGCTCTGGCGATTCCACGCTGGGGGCGCCCGCATCGTTGCCGAAGGCTGGGAAGATGGCATCCTGGAGCATGCCCCTCTTGGAGCTCGTGTCATGGGCCGACTGTACCTCCATTTGGCCCTCTGGTCTGTCAAAGTCCATGGGTTTTCAGACGGGGTGGTGCCCTCTTTGGTGGGCGGCGGATATTGCGAGTGTGCCTCTCACGGGAAAGCGATGATGTAGCTGCGTCGGCGCGTGCTCTGAATCGGATGGGCGCACCCCACGTTAGCTGCGGACCTCAGCTGCAACCAAGCCGAAGTAGGCCCTGCACTGACTGGAGGCAAAGGCACCTGGGCAGACTGCGAGAGCAAGTAATAGTATGGCAGTAAGTTCCAGTGTGCTTGTCGTTGCTTGATGCGTGCTGAGTGCTGGCCTCGCACAGCGACAACGGCCTGTCACGAGTAGATATTGGACTGTGGCTGCTGTCCTCCACGGGGAACAAGGCTCGAAATGTTCGCGCTCCCGGGACCAGTGAGCGGCGCAATAATTCAAGACGACGGGCAGCCGGTGGCACTGGGTGGGTCGTGAGTCGTGACGCTGGGCCTTGGTGAGCAGAATGAGATGCCTGTGTGGAGCGTTCGGCACCCACGCTCAGACTACGCTGCCCCCACCATTCACTCTCTTCACTCTCGGACGCCAATCACACGTGCAGCCTGCACCCTAGCTGCTAGGGTCCTGTTTGGGGCGTTCCCTACCCTCGCAGCGCGGCACGCCCTCTCCACACTGTCGTCAAGTGCGCGACTCAGAAAAGCAAAGCTGCGCGCACACGACACCCAGGCCTGACGCGTTTGCGGCGTGAAGCCTCCGGGCCCGCAGCCACTGCAACCTCAGATGTGCGATGACCCACGGCGGTTGAGCTCATGGCCCGCGAGGTGTGTGTGGGCTGAACGGGAGAATGCTTGCCTGCCGCTTAGCATGCACGCCCTTGCTCCTATCGAGACCGCCTGAACCGTGCTGCGAGGATACTTGGGAACCCCGGACAGAGTCTCGGAGCTCAGAATTACGAGCGGCCAATTTGTCGGCGAGCTGTGCTGTCCAACACCAAAGCCCTACCAGAACAACCTTAGGCCCTCGGTGTCTCGTTTCGAGAACAATTAGAGAAACCACGATGCACGATGCCATCTGCACTGCGCTGATCCCGGGACGTCACTTGCTTCAGGCCTCGCCAATGTTCCCTCTTGACATGTTCTACTGCACGACTACGGCCCACCAACACCAGCCGGCAAAAGCTTACGCGAAGAG